CTTACATCACTTTACATGTGGTCACTGTAGTTTCCAGTCGGCCGATTTCCCCTATGTGGTTGGTCTGTGGCACCTGCACAGGCTTAGGGTAGAGCAGTGAACTTACCGTCTTTAGTTCTGCTTATCTCCCTAGTCACAGGCTCTTCTGCAGGCGAGTCTTGTCCTTTTGCTGTGTTAAGAATTCCTATGTGTTAAGAATTCCTATGTGTAAGTGGCAAAGAAAACAACATAAGGGAACAACTACCAAAAACAAATACTTGGGAGAAACCATCCTCCTGATAACTTAACAAAAATAGATGTTCTCTCTAGGTTAGAGTCTGGCCGATGGAAGTTTAGACTTTGAGGAGTTAACCCAATAAAGTCAGCTCTGGGATTGTCAGGCAGAATGAGACACTTGGCCTAAGGACAGTATCAGTTATGCCTGTTGTCACAGTATTTCTCAAGAACTTACAGCCATTCTGGAGTCCTTTCCCTTCCTCATCCTAGAGATTCAACATTCTTCTGAACTATCCCACTGAACCTATTTCTTAACATTCTTTTTAGTTTTTCCTGATAAACCTGTAAGCAGGCTAGTTCTTCCCTGGTACTCGTGCAGTCACTTGAGAACAGGATGATAAAACTAGCCTGACCAAGTCAGGACCCAGAAATCACTGATGTTTCCCTTTGAGACTTCTAGCACACTTCCCATGTGCTAGATGCCTTAGTGTTCCTACAGCTGGAGCTTTTCAAATTTCTCCTCTGGTAGCTTCTCCAGCCTGTTCTAAAGGGCACAGAGCACTCCTTCCATAAGGTTCGAGTAGAACATGAGTGTAAATCAGACCTCCGTAGGAAGGTAAGTGATAAGAAAAAGCACCATGGCTATTACAGGGCAGCCCCTCATAATTGCTTTCTTCCTGGCCGGAGAAGCCTTAATTTAGGGAGAAAGGCCAGGCTCTTTATAACAAGACTTTTACTGGAGGTTATGAAAAGCTTGCTGTTGATGCTGCCTAATGGCCATCCCTCTTCATTGGCCAGATATGCTTTTTATCAAAGGGTGAGAATGGGTGAGAACAACTGTGGTTGGGATGTCATCTGAAATGTGGGTGTTGGCAACACGGGTAGGGGAGTGCAAGAGACTTGGTCTCAGGGGTCAAGTTATCTGAATGCTTCTTAACCCACCTCTAAGGCAAACTGCAGCATCCGAACTTCTTCCTTCCTTTCTGCAAGGGAACACCTGGTAATGGTCAGACTGGTCAGTGACCAAGGACACAGCCTTGATAAGCTGGTTGGTCCCATGAGAGTTTCCCTTGGAATTTGAACAGGAAACCTGGACAAAGGGGAGCAGCTGGTACCTGGAGCTCAACTAAGGATGGCAGGAAGTACAACTGTACCCCCTGAGCAGTTTATACTCAACAGATTATGAGGAATCTCATAATCTGTTGAGTATAAATGCACCAACACATCAATCACATGAACAACCAAAGTAACACAAAGAAAATGACAACTCTTCATAAACTCAAAATCATGGGAGACTGATCTAAATGATAGAGCACTCAAAATCAGTCATGAAAAAATGAGATCCCAGAAACCTCAGAAAGGCAGTTCAGTGGCTCAGGGATAAAATTAAGGAACAGGAACACTTTACCAAAAAGACTGAAACAACAAAGAAGCAAAATCTGGAGCTGAAGAATTCAGTAAATGAAAAATGCATTAGAAAGCACTGGGAACAGAGCTGACAACATGGAAGAGAATTAATGAACTAAACCATTCGTTCTAAGCACCCCAACACCTTGCATTTGTTGTGTTCAATATGGAAGCCTGCCATATTGAATAACAAACACTTCACACATCATGTGGTCACCCAAACATTTTGAAAACAGAGACCATGTCTTGAAATTTTTAATACCTTTATTACATCAAGCGCAGTGCTCTGCACACAACAGGAACTCAGATATTGCTTACCACATAACTTCAGCATACACAGACTAGTTTCAGTATAATTTCTCTTAATGATAAGACAGCTAAAAAGGAAAACACATAATTAAAACACCAAGTTACTTGTTCAACAACCACTTATTGATGGCCCAGTTTATACTAGTCTATGCTGAGAATGAGACAAGGAGACCTGTGTCCCCTCCTCACCCCACCAGTCAGCTCACCCCAAGAATGGCCATTCCACCATGGACCACGAGGGGTCTTCCAAAAGACACAGATTGTCTGCAGATCCTAGGCAAGTAATGGCTCAGACTAAGTTTTGCGCATATCTGTACAATCTTACGCTTCAAATGTATGCTTACACTATGGTGTTTTAATACGCACCTTTATTTAAAATCATTACTGAATGCATAGTGGCTATCAGTCATATATTTTCCCAAGCAGAAGATACTGATTGGGTGGGGATTTAAACAAAATATACATTTTAAAAAGTATACATGAAAACATTGTAAACCTCTGATGTGAAACTATTAAAACTGAAAGCTTTAAGAGCCAAGAAAACATTTTGGAAAAAGACTGTTATAGGAATCTTCAAAGAATTACTAGCACCTCTAAACCTGTATGTCAGGTACAAATATATTTCCCAGATTTGCAAAGGACATAAAATATTTACTTATTTTATACGTAGAGTTGGTGTGAACCATCATTTACAGAGTTACAAATATTGACCAGGAACCAGATTTTTTTTCATTAAGTTAAGGCTTGCCAAAATTCTCTCTCCAAGGACCTTTACGCCCAAGCACAGGAGATAACCCCCGACGACTGAAGAGTTGGGTCTACAGCTCCAATGGGCTGCTCATGCTCAACAATTCTTTGAAGTCTCCTGTTGTATCTTTAAAATTTTGCATTCTGTTCCATTAATATCCTTAATTACTTATTTTAAATGTGGTCTTCTAAATTATTTAACTGTTTCCTCAAATATTTCTAAAAACTCAGTTCAAGGAATATGAGGTAGGGGACCCAACAAAAACTGCAATTATCTCTGGAGGGCAGGCCCCTTGTAGTACAGGCTTCCCCCACTAGGTGAGTGTTCTAGGAATCCATCTGTGTCAACGTACCAGCTGGCGTTGTTGTGAGAGGCTGCATTGAGCTTCACTGACTTTTTTTTTTGAAGACTTTCAAAGTGTTTGCCTGTTTCATGATGGGTGATAAATGAGCGCACCTGCCCACACCATGCTAAGTGTTCAGTTTTTGACTGAAAACCACATGACCCCAGCTCCCTACCCTCTTTATTCACCCAATCTCACCCCAAATGACATTTTGTTTCCTGAATGAAAAAAGCCCTCAAAGGGAAATGTTTTGTCAATGTGGAAAAAACAAAAAATGGCAAAAGCACAAAAAGACATCAAAATTGACAAGTTCAAAAAGTTTTCAGCAGGGGGAAAAAAGTCTTGATAGGTGTACTGCATCAAATGGAGAGTACTTTGAAGGTGACTGAGGTTTAAGCATGTAAGAATACACAATTTTTTATAAATAAATTGTTTTTTGGGTCCCCCTCATATAGGTCATATTTAAAAAGCTACAGACAGTGATTCCCACATATATGTAACAAAAAAAATCAAAACAGTTCAATGGGTGTGTTATACGTGTTAGGCAGGAAATGGGAGCAACCTGAGGAGTCTCCCCCCCTGAGAATGGAAATAAGACAATCCTTTGACTATCGATAAGAAACATAGTGGATCAGAGCAGAAGCAATCCATCAGACAGAGGCAGATGGAGCCCAGGCCAGTCCAAACGAGACAAGGCTGAAGGTACTGACATATCTACTGGAAGTGCCTCTCAGAAGCTGATGTGGAGAAGCGGCTACTGGCAGAGACCCTCTAGCATCGTCCGTGGGAAGAGGGAGCCCTGCTCCACAAACATGAGTATCAGCAGGTATGGCCCACGGGGAGATGGACGCATGAGGCAACTTGCTTCCCTTGCTCAGACTCCACGCTCACCAAGTAACCAGCTGAAGATCTGCCAAGATCTGCCTAAAGGGAGAGAATGATTGATAGTTATATTTCCCATTGTAAATTTAAATACTAACACTTTTCAAAAACATCAGTTACTGTGAGTGTTGCTAATGTGAGTTTCCTATGAGATCATTCCACTCTCCGTGGGCTGACACCCTTGGTCTATGAAGCTCACTTGGTCTATGCAAAGATTTTTATCCAATTTGCCAAGGTGAAGCTGCCTCGTATAAGGGGAAGCTGACTTCCCCCAGGAACACTCAGCTCCACTACCATCAGACTTCTGTACCCACACTGTCCAGTATGGTAGCCACGAGCCACATGTGGGTACTGGCAGTTGAAATGCGGCCAGTATGACTTGAGATGTTGTAAGTGTAAAATACATACCACCTTCCAAAGACTTGCACCAATAATTTAAACATCTCAATTGCTTTTTATAATGACTACATATTGAAATGATAAAGTGTGTGTGTATATATACATACACACACACACACACACACACACATATTGTAATAAATGGCATTGTCCGTTTTTTAAATGTGGCTACTAGTAAACTGAAAATCACTTTCGTGGCTAGCATTACATTTCTATTGGACATCACTCTTCTATGCCAATAATGACAATGTTTAATTTTAAAGTCTGCACTGCATCCCTTCTAATGAGTTGGAGTTGGGAAGATACAGAACAGGCCCAGTGGCACCTTTCTTACATCAGTATCAAGTAGATTAAATGTCCATTTCTTATTACTTTAAAAAGGCCAATACAAACAGTACCCTAGTACTTGTAAGAAGTACTGAGTCTTGTGCAATTTACAACTATGGGAACAAAAGGCTGTGGGGTTGAAAGGCCTGGGCTCAAAGCTCACCTTTGAGTCAACTACATAACCAGGGGGTCAGCCTGCTCGCTGGTGAGGTGCAGAGCACCCCAAAGGATTGTGCCTGTACCCAGCTTTGCCTGAATACATATCTGTAAGTGAATGCTACAGCCAAAAGGCTACATCTTTGATTTCCTAGAAACTTAGCATTATGATTTCCAAAGGATTAACTATAAGGTAAATATCAAAGATAAAAATGTGAAAAGATAAGTTTTTATTTATCAAAAGTTAACAGCAACAGGCACATATTAAAATGAGTATGGCAAAGCCTTTTACAAATGGCTTTACACTCAAGCTTTCTCCCAAGAAAATGGCTGTTGCAACAAACTGTAAACATAATTAATAAACAGTCTTTTACAGTAACAAGGGAAATACAACTGAACTAAAAGGAAAGCACTGGTTTCTCTTAAAACTAGATTACAGTTGTGCTTACTATACATAAAACAATTTAAAACAAATTACAAAAGTGGAATGTTTTAAGTTTAAAATTAGTCCTTAGATTTTGTCCTACAAAACATCTGTTCACATCAAAAGGCCCATCAAAGGGTGTTGTTTCATCAAAAGGCAGGGGACGGGGAGGGAGGGAGACAAGGAAACAATGTACTTTTTTCAAATCAAAACAAGAAGTTTGGTCACTTAGCTTTGTGCATAGTTTAAGGCAACTGGAGCATCTGTTACAGCTTACCCACCTTCCCTCCCCCGAGTGTGGCTGCTCATTATGTCACATTCCAAAGTAATAAATAAAAGCTTACATATCCAATCCTTTCCCACATGGATAAATAGAACACATGCACAGTCACACATGCACAAACATGCACACAAACACACATCCGGCCACTCACACACAACATACCTCTCACACACTGCAGCGAAAGGGACTTTAGTACCCTTGCTCTGAAGGACACACTTCCCCATCCCACTTTATTTCAGATTGGCAAATACCCTGAGCTGATTACGGTGTTTTAAACATTCCACCTTTTCTTGCATGTGCAGGTCAAGTGTACAGTAGTGAAAACAACATGCAATGTCTTCACTGCAGAATCATAATACAGCTAGGACATTGGTGTTCTTCCCCTCCCACCCCAAATTAAAAACTAAGAGTTAAAAAAACCGCACTGCCGAACAGCACTGGAGGGAAAGCTTGGCGGTACTCTAGGATAATGCACAGCTTCCAGTGCACAAAATCAAACTATAGCAAAGGGGAGGCTTTGGTGGCATCCAAAGAAGAAAAAAAGCAAACCAGGGGGAAGGAGCTGCAGTTTGAAGTTTGATCTATAAAACTCTTAGTGGTTCCTTCACTATTGTGCTCCAAGGCAAATTCAGAAGCAGTATCTCAGAGTTGGTTTGTAAACATCGAGTCTTGCCTCGATGTAAACATCGAGGCAGCAGAGGCTGGGCACTTCACATTCCCAATCTCTCAGCAAGAACTTAGTGGAAGGTGCAAATATACAATGTTGCATCGGACTGGTTCAATTCCAAGAGATTTCTGCTGAAAGATTCAGTTCAAGTTTCATGGTTCGAAGAATAAATGCTTCGAGAAGCACGTGGCACTCCACACAACTTCTTTTGTTATTCCTTCCAGATTCGCTCCTGCTGGGCTTTGCAGACGCAAGGTTTCACGTGAGAGCCAAATCCATATTGCTGTATGCTCAGGTCTTATAATTAAAAAGTGGGTTCAAATGATCCAACAGAGGAAATCCTGGACATAAATAATGCTGGCGTCATTCACTCGGAAACCTTGGCGGTCAAGAGTAAGTTCCCTCACCTCAAGCCCCCATTTCACATTTCCGAGAGCCTCCCAGAGGCAGGCTGCCGCACTGACTCTGCAGTTATGATAACCGGTTTTCCTGAGGTAATAACTGTGAGTTCAACTCCTCAAATGTAGCTTCTGTGTCCTCACTGCTGGACTGTTCTCTCTGCAGTCCCTTCCAACTGGCTTTATTCAGCCCCACATGTCCGAGCATTGTCTGGGACAGCCTGGTATCGGAAAACCTGGCCCATTCCGTGAACAAAGGCTCCACTAGGTAAGTCATAAAACCTTAAGGAAATAAGAGAAAAATGGTATCAACATATGTTCTGAAACTTTACAATGTCTGTACAGTGTCTACTCTCAAGTCCTATTCCAAAATTACTTAAACCTTATTTTTCTAAAGATTCTAATGTGGGTGTACATTTAAAAATATCTTCTTCTGAAGACTATTTCTTAAATAACTTCCAGGTGTGCTGACAAACACCTCAAATCTTTTCTGATCATTCCTCTCCGCTGCACAACCATGTCCTTTTATTTAAACAAACACACAGTGACCGTATCAACTCCGAGGACAGCAGTGCGTAACAAAATTTGAGAGACAGTTCCAATGAGGCAGCTGGAGGCTAAAGGGGGTCTACCCCAGAACTGTGGGGGCACGTCTGTATTGAAGAGAAGCTGGGGTGATGTCCCTCTCTGCACCCTCGGGGATCGTAATCTTCACACCTGGTCATGACCACAGTAAGCCATTTTATTTAACTCGAAATTTGTAAGCCAAAACTCCTGACAAAAATATGAGTTTCAACAGACCAGAAATTAGTTAAAACAACTATTAATGTGAACATCAGAAGTGCACCAGGGTCCTACTTTATAAACAACTCATCTACTGATCTGCCTTAATTCATAGAAAAGAAAAAGGAGTAATTTCAGGACTGTGTGCATCTTTATGCAGCCCTCAAGGGCACATTATATCTGATTTAACATCACAAAGTATTTTACACAGAGTGGACAGAAGCATCATAGAAAATACCTCACCAATAAAATCATATATATTAAGAGAAACGACGTTATCTTCCTAATTTTTGATCTGTCAAAGGCAGGAAAAATGTACACTCAAATTCTATCACTGGTTGTATAAAGTAGTTTCTAAAATTTATTCATCTCCAAAACCTTTTCTTTGCAGCAAAAGCTCATGGTGACCACAGACGACACAGCTTCCTCTCGGCCGACACACCCACTGCAATGAAAGCAGTCGGTGCTGCTTCTTGCAGCCAGCGGTCACCCATGGTCTGACGGCCAGGGTTTCTAAGTGTACAAACTATGGAACCTGAAACAGTAGTTAGGACATCAGAAGTCATAACGCTTTCTTCCATTTCTTCCATCCCCTCCACACGCATTAGCTGAGAACCTACTACACGCCAGCACTGTTCTAGGGTGGCCAGGGACAGATCCACGCTCTGGCGAGGAGGAGGACAAACACAGAAAAATGTCGTTAGGGCAGTCAAACGCAGCAGCTCCTTAGAAGCCATCCCCACACCAATGCCAGGCTGGACCAGCCACCAAAGTCCTGGCTTTTCTAGGTGCCACAACTAAAGCATGAGCGGCTGGAGTTTTATACCCAAATGCAGAACCTCATTATCTCTGTTTCATGTGACTCCTCTTATTTGATTCTCCCACTGTTCCTGCCTCTAACATCTAACAAATTAACTATCACTTCTGGCTCTATGTTAACCTAAAATCTCTTTTAGGTCTTAGGTACCTGACAAAATAAATAGGCTGGGGCCATGGTCAGAGCCACGCAGCACCCGCTGTGGGGGCAGGGCTCCAACGGCTGCCCGACGCCCTGTGGATCCGCCGAGCCACACCAGCCCCTGAGCCCAAGCTCCTCACCACAGGTCCCAGCGCCTGGCCAACCGCCTCGCTCTTACCAATGTGTGATACTCTTGTTCAACAAAACTAGTACTCCCATCAAAGAAGGAAAATGATAATTAAACATGACTTTGCCCTGGCGGAGCAGCTCAGTTGGTTAGAGTGGTGTCCGTTATGCCAAGGTTGCAGGTCCCATCACTGCTCTGGGCACATACAAGTATCAACCAATGAATGAATAAATAAGAACAACAAACTGACATTTCTCTCCTTCCCTTCTTTAAAAAAATGAATCAATAAACATGACCTCTACTTACTCTGCTGGCTCTGAGTAATCACTGCTCAGCAAGATGATATTCTAACCATTGCATGATTTGCCCTAGAAACCCTTCCAACTCCCTTTTACCTGTGATTTGATATCAGAAAGACCAACACTTGTTAACTGCAACTGGACAAACTATCTGATAAAGAGAGTATCAGCAGTACTTGGTCCGGAGGATCAGTAGATGCAACTATTATCATGGCCTTCTGATAATCCATTCTAGAACTTTCCAACACTGACAAGACACAGAGACTGAGGTGAACAGTTTAAGGCATGTAGCTTCTAGATTCCCATTTTAAATACTGCAATTAAAAAAAAAAAAACTCACTTGCAAGTCCTCCCATTAATCTAGGGAGCAATTTGCTCAGGCAAAGACATTTAAAGTAGCTGGAATGAGTTTACTACGCTTTCACCAAGCTTCAATTCCCTGTTGCCTATACTTAATCTGTTCTTTGACATTTGAAGATCAGGGCAGAGTACATCTACGTCACGTCTTATCCTTCTGTGAACCTCAGCAGCTTTCCCGGCCAGTCTAGGGAGATCCCGGTCCCCGAACCGTTTCTACAGGTCTGTGTCACCCTCTCCCCGCCTGACATTTCCCCGTGCACCCCTCTGCAGTCAGGGTAGTGACCACCCTGTCTTCCACATGCATTTCTTTTTGCCATTACAGTAAGAATTATGTTTCTGAATTTCTGAACCTACAGCACAGGCCTCTTTTCAGAGTATTATGCCACAGTATTGTGCTACCTTCTGAATTTCTAGAACTTCATCTTTCTAGAGTTTGTGTGCACATCTTGCTTTGTTCCATCCAATTCTCAAAGGTTCTGCTCAACACCAGCTACGAAAATAACAGTCCTCCCTCGATACCTTGCCGAGTCACTCTTCACTGTCCCTCACTTTACACTCAAGCCCCCACATGCTCGGCCCTTGTCAGTCTTTCCTGGGCTCTTCTGCAACAAGCTGCACAGCCTCCCATCACAGCAACTTCATTATGCTTTCTCTCCCTGGTACGGTTCACTCAACCAGTGGTTCTCAAGCGCCTGCTGCTCCCAGGTGCAGCACTGACTTCAGGGATACATCTCTGGGGCCAGAAGGGACCTGGGAGCCAGGAGAGGACTAAGTGCCTGGAGAGAGTGGAAGGTGGCTTCGGGAGGGCATGACAAGCAAAAGGAGTCTATGAGGCAGAAGGGGAGGACTGGCGAGGCACAGAGAGTGAAGGAGCAGCGCGGACTTGCGGAATGCCGACGGGTCCCAAGCTGCTCCAGGTAAATGAGGGCAAATTGCTGGGGAGACAATTTGAGGCCAGACAATTCAAGAGGCCTGTGCAAGATGTGCAGGAATCACACTCAGCAAAGAGTCGGCGATAAGAGTAAGCAACAGTGCAAACTGGTCTTCATACATATTCATGCTCAGTGGTCACTTTTTCATGTTAAAATGGCAGTCCTAGAATTATGCATAGAAGCTCCCACATAGGGAAATACTGTTCAGTTTTACCACAAAAACAAAGTTACTGTTACATGCTCTGAAAGAATTATGCTTTTTACCACCTAAAGTCAAATGAGAGTAAATTGTAAGAACTAAAAAAAGGAAAAACAAGGTTAAAATTTTTAATTCCTTAAAAAATAGAAATGAGCATAATTTTAATACTTTATATTTCAAATGTATATCCTTCTTTCTCGACAAAGTTGAAATCAGTGGCATGTTATTAGTCAGGCTATATGTACATATAGTTACCAATCTGGATGTTGGCAATAGACTCAGTCTGACGATCACAAAACGGACTCACACCCAGCTGATACTTCTTCTCTATATCTCCTGGACATAAAAACAAGGAGAGACAGAACTATTAATGTGGAACATACCTATTGGTTAAGTATATAATCAAAGTCTTCATCTTACCCGTAGACTCCTTAGGAAAAAGGTACCATATTTAATTCTCATGAGAGGAAAGCTTCTAAATTAGTTCTTTAAGTTATTCACACACAGAAAAAGCTGCCAAGCTGATATCCCATTTTAAATGAAGGAGGTGGAAAACTTTTACTAGGTGTTGTACCTCAACACTGTGAGCATTTTAATTTAAATCTTAAAAAGGAAGGTGCACAAAATGAAGATCCTTGGCTCCTGGCTTTAAGTCACAAAAACGTCTTCGGTGTTCGTGTGGCCGTGCCCCCGACACAGGACAAGGAGGGCAAGGTCAGGGAAATCCTTCTAGTCAGCTGAATGTCCCAGCTGATCCGTGTCTATTCATAAATGCATGCACACACACCTGATGATTTCAAGAAACCTCTAATTTTCAAAACAGATGCTCAATTTATACATCACTGGGTATGTGCACATCTACGGTAAACTGCCACTAAAGACATCAATATCTAACACTAGACTCCTATAAATGTGTGAGTTACTCTATTCATATGATGCTTAAAATATGAACTGGGCAGATTAATTGGCACTCAATTCTGGAACTTGCCTTGATGGAAGAATTCCTCTGTTACTTTTTCACTCCACTGCTTGCTTAATTCCCAGGTCCGACAGGGGTTACAAATATCAGCACATTTCAAAGCCATCTAGCAAGCAAAATATTAAAATTGTTTTAAGAAAAAAAGTAAAATTTCAATGGTACTAAGTTTAAATCTACTTTAACAGTAGCAAAAAGAATACCTTTTTTAAAAAAGAAAATGATGCAACGGAAAAGTCATTTTTTATATTAATTTCATGATTCTATTAGGTCTACCATTTCTCCAGAAATGCTGTAAGACTGGAAACCTGATTATATAGCTTAGCACAAGTCCTGGATTAACCATAATGCTACAAAGAAATAAGCCAATTCTATCATTTTTTTAGATGTGGGAACTTAACTAAAATAAAATGCTGTTAGTTGATGGCACCCTAAGCTTGCAAAAACTGTTTTTGTTAGAAATCTCAGCTGTGAATAATGCAAAAGCAACAGCGCTCTCCTCAGGGGTGGGTTCTCCCTCCAGGAAGGAGACCCTAGCTTTCTCAAGGTTTAACCACTCCCATCACTACACTAGAGTATTTCATTTTTATTCTATTAGTCACATAAAATTTACCCTAGAAATAGAACCCATTTTACCTGCAAAACCAAATGCCTATGTCTGGCATCTTCCAGGCATAAGTCGCCTCTATCCAAATGGGACCTGAACAATGACAGATACTCGTTTTGGCGACTGATATCTGTGGCAAGTATCAAAGCACCTATCTGAGTCTCCATTTGTTTCCTGGAGTTGGAAAAATATAGAAAATACAAGACTTTCAATTAAGCAGTTACTTTTTGATTTTTTTCTTAAACTTAACATTCAGAAGCTTCATAGAGCCCTAATATTAGTTCTTTAAGCTATTCACACACAGAAAAAGCTGCCAAGCTGATATCCTATTTTAAAAGGAGGTGGAAGAACTAATATATTCTAACTGCCATTCAACTTTTAATCACAAAAAATTAATTTTAAAGAATGTGTCAAAAAAAAAAAACCCTCTAAAAGAATCAAAACTAAAACCAAGAAAGTTTGTAGAAAAATACCAATACACAAATATCACAAAAAAGTACCTTTATTGCCCTGGTCAAAGTGGCTCAGTTAGTTGGATTATCATCCTGTACACCAAAAAGTTACAGGTTCGGTCCCTGGTCAGGACGCATATCTAGGTTATGGGTTCGGTCCCTAGTCAGGGCCCATGAGTGGGGCACACGATCACTGTTTCTCTCCCTGTCTCTCTCCTTCCCCTTGTCTCTAAAATCAATAAGCATGTCCTCAGGTGAAGGTAAGAGTGCCTTTATTTTTCTAGCCAAAGTGTAATTATTTGTCTAAAATAAAAAATACATAAAATTGGTATTTTTTTTTTAGAAAATGCTTTGCTTTCCTTTTTGGTGCCTGAGATCTGAAAGGTAGAAGGAAGTTTCAAATGGAGGAAAAAGAGCCAACGACTGATTCCTGTAGACGTTTTGACTAAGATGCCTTATTAAATCCTGATAAAATTCCACCAAATGGTTAAGAAAGTTTAGATTCAAATATAGTCCAACAGTTGTATATGGCTGTATATGTAGTTTAATAGTTGTACAGAGTTGTATACATATATTTAAGAACCAATCAACTATCTAAATGACTACCCAAATTTTCTGGAAGGTAAAAGGTAACGTGCTTATATGAATAAAAAATACATGATATTTAAAAAAAACTCTCTCAAGACAAGTAAGAGAAATAAACCTAAAAAAAAAATATCCCTGCCTTTTGTTCCAGTGGGCCACAGAAAACATTATCTTCATACAATGATGGGTAAAGAGCTGTCAATATGTTAAAAGGCTCCCAATATTGAACATTTCAGGAAAAACATAAAACAAAAGAATGCTGTTATATAGTGTTCCTTATTTTCAGTTTTTACTTATATTAAATCAGAGAATTTAACAGGGTTAATCATCAAATGCAAAACACGATAAAAAGGGAATAACATAGCCAACATTTTTTAAAAGATTTTATTTATTTATTTTTAGAGAGAGGGGAAGGGGAGGAGAAAGAAAGGGAGAGAAACATCAATGTGTGGTTGCCTCTCGCACCCCACTACTGGGGACCTGGCCTGCAACACAGGCATGTGCCCTGACTGGGAATTGAACCAGTGACGCTTTGGTCCGAAGGCCCGCGCTCAATCCACTGAGCTACACCAGCCAGGGCCAAAGCCAATATTTTAATCTATGCTAATCAAGGACAAGATAATGTCTATGTACAAACACCATATGGCTTAAGCAATTTTTATATTTGTACTCAGTAAGAAATAAGTTTACTTACCAGAAGTATTGTCATGACCTCAAATGGTATCCATGAATACATATTTTTAAAAAATTAAAAAGTCCTGCTTTTTTCTTATGGTCATTACACAAAACACTTAAATTTTCAACTCATGAATGGGGAAAAAGGGGAGAACCATGACAGTAACAAATTTTAATACCCAAACATATTTAGTTTTTATTTATTGATTCAAGAGAGACAGAGAGAGAAACATCGATTTGTTGTTCCACTTACTTATGCATTCACTGATTGATTCTTTAAAGTGCCCTGACCAGAGATCGAACCCACAACCTTGGTGTATCTGGACAACTTTCTAACCACTGAGCTATCTGGCAGGACCACCCAAACATTTTTTTATTCCTCACCTTTTTTCTAGAATTACTTGGTTTATGTAACCATTTTCATGGTTTTCTTAAGTGCGTCTTCTCTCTGTGAGACATTCATTATTAAAACCTCTGTTTATGGACAGTGGACTCATTTACATTAATGCTTTTTATTAGGCTTTCAAATGGCCTGCTTAACCATAAATGATCTACTCCACAAAATTAGTATTTTCTCTTCTTTCCTGGAGCTCCAGAAGAGACTTCAGAACTAAGCTATCAAGGATACAAAGCATTATTTTTACTTATCAGTTTTGAAACTTTCTAAAATAGATTTTTTGTTTTGTTTTTTAAATATGTTTATTGATTTTAGAGAAAGACAGAGAGACATCGATGTGAGATAGAACAGCCATTGGCTGCCTCCCATAAATGCCCTGGCCAGGGATCAAACCCATAACCTTTAGGTATATGGGATGACGCTCCAACTAACTGAGCCACAACGGCAAGGGCCCAAGACAGGCTTTTTTTTTTTTTTTTAATTTTATTTTAATCATTGTTCAAGTACAGTTTTCTCCCTTTTACTCCCATTCAAGCCCACCCACCCAACCCTCCCCACTTCCCTCCCATTATCACTCTCCCCCTAGTTTCTGTCCTTGTGTCCTTTAAATTTGTTCCTGTAAACCCTTCCCATTCTCCCCTGAAATTCCCTCTTCTCTCCCCTCTGGTCACTACCATGACAGGCTTTTTAATGCATCTGTTTATTATAGAGAATGTTTACTTTCTATTCCATTTATACCTAGAACTTAAGGTTTTATTTAAATTAGCATAAAATGGAAATATGTAATACTATTTATATAATAAGCAGCAAACTGTGACCGAACCATTGTGTATTTGGAGTGAATTTTACAGTACTCAGATCTATAGGGTGATCTTTCATAATAATTCACTAAAAAATATACTACTAACTGTATTGTAGAATAGGTTTAAATCACTAAAATTTTTATGTAAATTTGTAAAATAAAATAATTTACCCATTGAATTTAAAACTGAAAATTGTGGAACACCCAAACATCATAACTTTAAAACTTTGTAAAATTGTTTTGTCAACTTAATTTTCATAGTTCATAGCAAATTAAATTTGTCTGGATCCAACCTACCTGCTTTCTAATGACATATGTGAGAATAAACCAGATTCTCTCAATAATCCCACTGCAGATCTCCAGTGGTGATTTTCCAGTACTGAGGTATTCTACAAAAAAAAAAAAAAAAAAAAGGAAAGAAAAAGCATATCTGAATTATCTAATGGTAATAAATCTCCTTTTTGAACATGTAGAATTATTTGGGAGTAATATTAATCTGGTTAAAATTCCAACATTCACTGAGAATTTGTTAACCATTTTCACTTCTTAAAAACATGAAACATTTTTAGGAATGAAAGAATATTAAACTGTTATGATAAAGCTGCACTAACCTTGTATAAAGTTGCCAAGTAATGGTTAGTTTTAATAAGGAAAGGTTGATTAACACCTGGATGATCCAGATCGTGAGTTGCAGCTGCAATTAAGCTCAGCAAGACATCCCAAGGAGTCACAGAGTTGGCAAGCTAAAATTGACGAAAGGATAATTAATCACACACATATTTGAAATCAACTCTATCCCATGACAATAGCTTTGAATTAGTCCCAAATGGCAGTGTTGACAGTGCTTCCCCTGTTGTGTTTTCAGACTGTTCATTAAGGCCACCAAGCCCCTGCCGGACTGCCCTCATCACGGCACTGGGGGTGGGCGTGATGTGACGGTGGCCCTGCCCACAGGAGTTTACAGAGCTCATCCTTGCCCTGTTTCATTCCAAACAAGCTTAGGTACAAGGGCAGTTAAAGTATAAGCCACCTTTTTGAGAAAGATAGTTGTAAAACAATAAACACAGGTTCATGTATTTTTATTTCCCTAGCCATTACCAAACAGAGAAGACATATGAGATTTAAAAATGTGTTTTATTACAATAAGAGCACTTAACATGAGATCTACCCTTTTAACAAAATTTTAAGTGTGCAATACAGTAGAAGACCTACAAGTGAGGGTGTTTATTTATCACAAATTGTTTATTGGATTTCAGTTAAGAATCTAAAATGCAAGGTTATTTCTGAGGTCCTAATGTTTAAGGAGGCTACTGAGTAATCAGATAGCAGAAATCGATGTCAAGTCTAATAAAATCCTCTCCCAGTGGATGGTTATGTGCAGAACAGTGTTACACAATGTATTCATGTCAGAAAAACCAATGTTAATTATACCTTTTACTCCCAATAATCATTATTACTTTTACTTGGATAAGAAATGATCACCTTGACAGATCTATCGCCTGCTTTTCATAAGTCACTTCTCATTTCCTGGCCAGCTTCTTCTCATCTTCTGAGGCCCAAGTCCACTGACTTCCCCTTCACCCCCTGTTCTCGACCTGCAGCCCCTTCCCCAGCAACGGCTGACTGTGTTCCTACTGCACTCCACAGGTCTGGCCATAAAAAAGTCGGGAGAATATGCTTTTACTTAGGTCACATTAGGTCAATGCTCTCTGAACTTGTATGGTCCTGTGCCCTAGCAGTAAAAAGAAATGTGAGCATACATCACCCGTATCAGTACACTTATAGATTGTGATATTGAACTAACATACATTGCACATGAACAAATGTGAAAATTGAAAAATTTTTAAATGAGATAAATAAATTTAGATTCAAATTTTAGTATTTTCTTTCTATGCCAGAATGAATCTTTTTCCATCCCATGTGTCAAGGTTATCTTAGTCTGGAAAAAAACAAAAATGAAAGAACCTAAGGGCTCGAATGCCCCGGAAAACTGTGAGCTTCCTGAAAGCATAGAACATTTATCATTTATATTTGTATTGCCCGTAAGTGGTATATGGAGAAGCTCAATGAATGGGGGGAAGTTGGTGAAGAAAGTAATTTCCTCTTCAGGATTTGTGAAGTATTTAAAAAATAGATTTTTAAAGCACTGCTAACTGCTCAAGAGGACAGAGACATATGGTACGAGCACGATGCACATGAAGCAAGCTCCCCTCCCCAACATGGAAACATGTGGGCATGGCTGTGGAGATGTTTATTAAGCAATACACAAAAGTGTCATATTCTTATAAAAACTAAAACAGAGGGGATGTGGCAAAAGAACAGACATGTACCATCCTGGGAGAATCCAATCATCTAGAATTAGACTTTAAAAAGAAATTCATGTACGATCACGTGTGACATCAAACAATCTTAGATTGAAGTGAATTATTAAACACAGAAACATGAAAAGAAACAAATGAATTTTTAAAAGTTCTATGAAAGGAAAGTAAGTTCTAAATTTGATTTCTCTCCTATACTTCAGATTCTTTTACCCAACTCTCTGCTCGACAGACATCCACACGGATATCGCACAAGTACATTTCACTCCACATATTCAAAACGGAAGTCACCATCTCTACCAGCCCTACTCGCAAACCCGCTCCTTTTCCTGCACTCTCTCACACAAGACTTCCTTCCGCCTTCTACTCAACTGCCCAAGGCGGTCTTCATCGACTCCTGCTTCATTCCCCAAATGCACTGGGACACCGTATCCTAGTAATTCTGATCCCAAAGAGATCTTACAAACCATCTACCTTCCTCCTTCCCCAAAAGTGTTTGCCTTGCTTAGGGCACCAATGTTCTCTCAAGGAGCGCTGAAACAGCTCCAGACTGGTGTTCACATTCCTGCTCTTGCCTGACTGACTTTTATACAACAGCCAAAATGGTTTTCCCTTCTGTGGCTCCCTCTTCATGCTCTGAGCTGACTGGCCTGTCCCCGTCCTCAAGAGCTTAGTGTAAGGGCCACGTATCCTAACAGTGCTCGATGTTCCACAACCTGGCCCTCACGTGGCCTTGCCCGCCTGGTCTCTTAGCAGTCACCTATTCTCCAGGTGTGCACTTACGAAGTCTGTCCAGAAAAAGTCCAGCCACTGTTAATGTAATGAAATTGGTTTGTGCAACATCGATGTAAGCTGGCAGCCAAGGAGAGTGGACTAGAATGCATCAGTGGGGGCATAGATGCCATTGGGTGAGCATGTGTACTGTGTGGCAGTCACATTCGAAATGACTGAGCGAGTAGAGCAACAAATCTGCATCAAATTTTGTGTTAGTTTGAACATCCCTCCCAGAAACTATATGGATGATTCAGAAGGCTGCAGCTATGGGCAACTAGTGATTGGCAGGTTCATCATGACAATGTGCCTGCTCATGCCTCACATCTCATGCAGAATTTCTTGGCAAAACACCAAATCACCCAGGTGACTCAGCCCCTCTACAGCCCAGACTTGGCACCTGCAACTTCTGGCTTTTCCCACAACTAAAATCACCTTTCAAAGGGAAGAGATTTCAGACCCTCGTTGAGACTCAGGAAAACACGATGGGGCAGCTGGAGATTTGGAGAACTGTGAAAGGTCCCAAGGTGTGTACTTTGAAGGGGACTGAAGCTTCATCCTATCTACAATGTTTCTTGTCTCTTCTTTAATTAATGTTTTTATTTTTTCATATTACATGGCTGGATACCTTCTGGACAGATCTGGTCTGTCCATTGGGAACATGATCCAGATAGATCTCTTTCTTGTGAAGGAAACTTCTGATTTTTAGCCAAATCACTAACTTAGGGAAAAGTATTTAAAAGCAAAGCAAAGAAACTTTCTTAGGATTTTTGCCTGCTGTAAATGTCCACACCTCACCTTAGGTTCTCTTAGGTAACAGTGCATGGCCTGAGTGACGTCTGCAGCGTGCACGGCATTGTGGTACGGGTTCTGACTGTGGTAGTCTTCTTGAATCATCACTGCAACACAGGGAAAGACCCCCAGTTATATTGTGAATGGGAGACATGTGCAAGCACAAAACCTGATAACCACGAGTTCTCCGCTTACACTTTTCAGGCAGCTATCAGCTAACTACTGTTCAGATTCAGAGAGAGATGGGGATCACCTCATAACTCACACGTGTAACTAAAGAATTAGTACCACTTTCATTCACAACTTGTTTGAAACTTTTAAGTGAGAAGGTATTCATGTCAAAATTATAAAATAATTTTTCTTTCTCTTTTAAAATGTGAATCTATTAAACTGAGAGAACAACAGAGTCTCTTAGTTAATACAAACAGTATGATTCACGCAACAAATATTTATTGTGCCAGGTACTGTTCTTATGGTACTAGAATTTCATCAGTGAACAAAAATATTTATGATGCAAAAACAGCTTAAGTATTGGGGTACACAAAAACGATCTATGCGCACATCATCAGTGATATAAGTTCTGGATCTGGAATTCATTTTTCAGTTTGTAGGGATGGATCTTGTGTTAACCTTTTCTTTTTCCACTTAGTGTCTGTTACGCCATCATGAAAAAGTAGACCAGGATTAGAGGTGGAGCTGTCTGTGGCCCTAAACCACAGCACAAGCTAAAACTAGTGATCTCTACCTAACATGAGCCAACCCCAAGGCAGTAAACTACCATCCACTGGTGATAGGAAAAGGGATTTGAAATTCTTTATTTACTTTGATCTCATTATTTAAAACAACCTTTTATATACTCTTGTAGTATCTATTTTTTATGTTTTATAATTTATATATGGTAATATATTATTAGTACAGTATTACAGCCACACAATTTATAAATAAATGTGCATTAAAAGTTTCTCAAAACCACCCTGGCTGGTGTGGCTCAGTAGATTGAGTACTGGCCTGTAAACTAAAGGGTTGCAAGTTCCATTCCCAGTCAGGGCACATGCGGGCCAGGTCCCCAGTCAGGGGCACATGAGAGGCAAGCACACATTGATGTTTCTCTCCCTCTCTTTCTCCCTCCTTTCCCTCTCTAAAAAATAAATAAATTTTTTTAAAAAGTTTCCCAAAACTGCTAGGTAATAAATTTATCTTAGTTTGGCACTTAAGGGAAAAAGAAAACACTATTTTTCTTTTAAAAAGTAAGAAAGAATCCTCATGCTACCAATTTCTGTCTAACATATTTCTTTCAGTGAAAAACTTCAACTTTTCTCCTAGCAGAACAGTCTTAAATAAATATCACTCTCCACATTTACACATATTCAAAATAATCTTTAAAGTTTATTGTCAAAATAGGAGACCTAAGTGCATCCTACCCAATCTTTTAACATTTTAGCCTTTGAAAATTTACAAAAGGACAGATATTGAGTCCTCTTTGTCAGAGAGCCGTGGCCGATGTAAGAGCCTGACAGCAAAGTCATCGCAGTTCTTTACCACACCCTCCGCCCAGGGCTCTGAGCCTTCGCAGCAGCTTCCCACCCTCAGCTGCCGTTCATTTCCACCTGACTGACTTGTTCTGGACAGAGCAGGTTGGAAGTGTGGGGGGGCCAGTGATGAGCTCAGGGCTCCAGGGGTCTGGGCTCACCAGCTCTCTCTAAGAAACTGGCCACTGCTCTTTGAACAAACCCATAAAAAACCAGGATTATCTTCTGGAAGGAGGATACCTAGTAGCACAGGCTTCTCACAGTAGGTGAGTGCTCGAGGAACCCATCTGAATCAGTGTACCAGCTGCTTTGCTGTGAAAGGTTGTGTTTGGCTCCAGTGAATTTTCTTTGAAGACTCAACGTGTTTGCCCATTTCACGATGGATGGTTTACAAGCACACCTGCCCACACTGTGGCTGCACTGAGTTTTCAGCAGTTTTCGACCAAAAACCACAGGACCCCAGTGTCCCACCCTCCCTGTTCAACCAATCTCGTTCCCAGTGACTCTTGTTTTTTTGTTTCCCTGGATGAAAAAAGTTCTCAAAAGGAATCATTTTGCTAAAATGGAACAGGTGAAACAAAAAAAAAGGCAGAAGCACTAAGAGGCGTCAAAATCGATGAGTTCAAAAACTGTTTTGAGCAGTGGAAAAAAGCCTCGATAAGTGTATTGTATCAAATGGAACATATTTTGAAGATGCTGAAGTTTAAAAACATGTAAGAATACACAATTTTTATAAATAAATTCTAGGTTTTTTGTGTGTCCCCTCTTGTATTTTAAAGTAAACAACTATTTCTTTCGTCTTCAGTGTGAATCTAATGGTGCCAAACTCCTCTGCATTCTTGTTTTAATTTAATAGGAGACCATGAGGGGTTGAGCCCAGTGTTCCAGGTGTGGTCCTAGCCAAGGTCCCAGTGAGGCAAGGCCTGCAAAGCCCCTGTGCAACAAACTGGCTGTCAACTGCAGGTGCACCAATGAGTTCAGCCAGAAGCAGCATGTGACAGCCCCACAGACTCAGGAGCTGAGTGAATGCATGTTGTTTTAAGCCATTAAATCTGGAGTGGTTTGTTTTAGAGTAGTAGCTCGCTGATATCAAATTTTTGAAAGTTCTTGTATAAATCTCACTACTGCTAAATGGGTTAGAATCACTTACCTAAAAATCTACGAAGTTTCATCATATCTAAATGGAAGTACTCAATTAATCCATGAAGATTAAATAAATGAAAGGTTAAACTTACTAGGCTATTTCCTAAAAAAAAAAAGAGAGAGAGACAGAGAGACAGAGATTAGCAGCTAACATGACTGCATTATTTTTCCAAACATGGGTTCTGAATATACTAATCCCTACTTTTTGTCTAAAATTTACATCTTATTAGATCAGTTATAGACTTCAAATAGCACACTTTTTTTTCCATTTTAAGAAAAAAACTTTTTGTTGTTCCATTTTTCTACAACCAAATAACTGGACAAAAAAACATTTTTTAAAAGACTTACTTTTTAAAAAAAAGACACCAAAACAATTAGAATCAATAGAAAACTTTGAAAATTGCCCCACACTAAGTTTAAGTCAACTTCCCAAAGCACCTTAAACATGGCTGCATTTAACCACTTCCTAAACATCCCCTCTCTCACCCCTCTCACCCTGGTTTAGCAGAACAGGAACCTCCCAGAGCAGGGTGCCTCGGCTGCGGCCTTGTTAGGTGGAGGCTGTTTATTCTAAGCACAGGCCAGTAGGAGGGATCAATGTGCTCCTCCCTCAAGATCAGAACTCTGAACTGCATCCTGCCTGTCCCATAGTTGCAGCAGAAAATCTGAGAGTTGCTGGAAGGGAAGGGGCGAGGATAACCACAAAACTAGGCAGAATCTATCACTATAAATTTATAGACAATATTACCTAGCAATCCTACTATGTTTTTCTAGTGAAGTGGTTCTTTCACTTTTCAAAATGCCCATTTTCAAGCTTTCTCTATCCAAACTTTCAACATACCCACATTCAATTCAATCCTCATCCTCAACAGCCTCACACTTCACAGAAAAATACTCAAGCCCTCAAATTCCCCTTTCTTTCAAAAGCCAATTCCTCTCCCTCTCCACAGCTCCTCAGGAGCCTCCCTTGGCCCATCACCACCCGCAGTCCCAATGAATCAAAATATCCCTCCCACCTCCCCTTCCCTATATAGTCCCAATAAGATCAGCCCTCAGACCTGCTCCAGATTCTCTTATCTTTGAAACAGTGAGGAATCTCCAACTCTCCTGGCCTCCTTCAGTTGCCCCCTCTATGCTCCTACACAGGAGAGTCTTCTGGAAGCATTGCTACATGCAATGGGGATTGATTACCTTCCTCCTCAACTTCCACTCCTTTGTCACTAAGAACTGGGGTCACACCAAGCACAGAAACTGAATTTGGAAAAACTACTATTTCTATAATATTTAGTTTTTCCTTCCAAGACACAGCTCTCTCCATTTTTTATACCTTACATTCTCTATCCCAACGTTCTGAAGATTTCCCACATGCTACAATATTTTAACAATTAAATGGACTCTGTGTTTTAAGGAGTATGATCTCACTATACTGCCAATGCCTGGATAATGACAACAATATAAACATGGTCCTGGCAGTCTCTTAAACAATCCGTGATTCTTACAAAAGTGAGTAAAAGACTTAGATAGTCCCACAATGAAAATTTTTAGCAATATTTATGAAGAATTAGAAAGGACTATTGGGGTAAACTTGTTACCTAAAACTGCCCAAACAACTGTCAACAGAAGCCCATGGCCGAGGAAAAAAGTAAATCAGAAAAACATTTGCGCGGGCAACACTGTAAAGGATGTGGCTACCCCAAAGAGATTCTTTTTAAAAACTACCAGACATACATATCACCTTCAAGAAGGGGGAAAAATTCAAATCTTTATTTTTATGAAATTAAATGTTAAAATGCATTCAAATCCTAATAACACTGCCATACCAACATGAGCCAATGTCATTTGGAAACGTTTGTGAAAGAGTGAGCTGTATTTCTGTTATTACTGTTGTAACAACCAACTTTTCTTTGGGCATATTCATGAATTATTTCAGAATGCATATTCAAACACACTATCCAATTAAAAAGTAGGCAGATCATCTGAACATTTTTCCGCCTGACATATAAATACCCAATAGGTACATGAAAAGATGTTGGACATCACTAATCATCAGGGATGCAAATCACAATGAGATATCAGCTCACACCAGTTAGAATGGCGATGATCCAAAGGACAAGAAATAATAAGTGTTGATGAGAACGAGAAGGAAACAGAACCCTTGGACACTGTTTTGGAAATGTAAATTGGTGCAGCCACTATGAAGAACAGTAGGAAGGTGCCTTAAAAATTAAAAATAGAATTACCATTAGATTCAACAATCCCACTTCTGGTTATTTATCTGAAGAAATTCAAAACACTAAATTTGAAAAGATATAGGTACCTCAATGCTCACTGTGGCATTATTTACAATAGTCAAGATAGGGAAGCAACCTGAGTATCTACAGCGAGATGAATGGATAAAGAACATGTGATACATGGGTGTATGGAATATCACTGAAATAATATGAAAAATGGAAGAATATTCAGCCATGAAAAGAAGAAAATCTTGATTTATTGATGACAGTCATTCTGACAGGTGTGAGGTGATTCTCTCATTGTGGTTTTACTTCACAGAAGATCAGTGGCATTGCGCACCTTTTCGTATGTCTGCTGACCACCTGTATGTCCTCTTTGGAGAAGTGTCTATTCAAGTCCTCTGCACACTTTTTAATTTTAATTGTTCATTTTTTTTGGTGTTAAGTTTACAAGTTCTTTATAAATTGTGGATATTAACCTTTTATCAGATGTACCAATGGTGAATATGTTCTCCCATTCAGTGAGTTGTCTTTTTATTTTGTTAATGGTTTCCTTTGCTGTGCAAAAAATTTTTAATTTGATATAGTCCTATTTATTTTGTTTCCCTTGCTCAAGGAGCTATGTCAGTAAAAATATGGCTACAAGAAATGTCCAAAATTTACTATGTTTTCTTCTAAAGTTTTTATGGTTTTGAGCTTAACATTTAAGTATTTAATCCACTCTGAATTTATTCTTGTGTATGGTAAAAAAGGTAGTCTTTTTTCATTTTTTGCGCATATATGTCCAATTTTCCCAACATCAGTTAGTGAACAGACCATATTTACCCCATTGTATGTTCTTGCCTCCTTTGTCAAATATTAATGGACTATAAAAGCATGGGTTCACTTCTGGGCTTGTCATTCTGTTTCATTGATCTATATGTCAACAAACAACAAGTGTTGGTGAGGATGTGGAGAAAGGGGAACCTTGTGCACTATTGGTGGGAATGCAGACTGGTGCAGCCACTGTGGAAAGCAATATGGAGTTACCTCAAAAATTAAAAATGAAACTGCCTATGACACAGTGATTCCACTTCTGGGAATATATCCAAAAAAACCCAAAACACTGGTTAGAAGAATACAGCAGTGTTATTTGCAATAACCAAGATTTGGGAGATTCAATAACCAAGATTCTCTCATCAGTAGATGACAGAATAAAAAAGCTGTGGTACATTTACGCAATGGAATACTATTTGGTTTAAAAAGGAGGAAATCTTACCTTTTGTGACAGCATGGGTGGATCTGGAGAGTATTATGCTAAGTGAAATAAGCCAGTGAGAGAAAGACAAGTACCATATGATTTCACTTATATGTGGAATTTAATGAACAAAAAGACAAACAAAGTAGAAACAGATTCATAGATACAGAGAACAGACTGACAGCTGTCAGAAGGGAGGGAGGTTGGGAGGCTGGGTGAAAAACAGGAGGGGATTAAGAAAAAACAAACAACAAAGAAAACTATAGACACAAACAACAGTATGGTGATTACCAGAGGGAAAGGTGGGTAGTGGGAGGTAAGGAGGGTAAAGAGGGGATAAATGGTGATGGAAGGAGACTTCACTTGGTGTGGTGAATACACAATATACAGATGTATTATAGAACTGTACATCTGAAACCTATATAACTTTATTAAATAATGTCACCTCAATAAATTCAATTAAGAAATAAAATAAAAAGAAGAAAATGTTGCCATTTGCAACAATATGAATTTTGAGAGCATGCTAAGTAAAATACGTCAGAGAAAGACAAAAGAGATATAATCTCACTTACATGAGGAATCTAAAAACAAAAGCTGAGCTCACAGATACGAAGAATAGACTGTGCTTGTCAGAAGCAGAGTTGGGGGTAGATAGAAATGGGTGAAGGGGGTCCAAAGGTACAAATTTCTGGTTGTGAAATAAACACATAAATAAGTCCTGGGATGTAATATACAGCATGGTGACAGTAGTTAATACTGTACTGAGTATCTGAAAGTTGCTAAGAGAATAGGTCTTAAAAGCTCCTTGCAGGAAAAAAGACTGTAATAATGTATGGTGACAGATGTTAACTAGACTTATTGTGGTGATTACTTTGTAATATATACAAATATATCATTACATTGTACACCTGAAGCTAATATATTATGTCAGTTATACCTCTATTTAAAAAAATGTATATTTAGGTTGTGATAGTGTTCTCCCAAAATTGTTTTCCCAATCTAATAAAACAAACTACCAGTTTCTACAGTCTAGAAGTTGTTTCAGGAAAGCTGCACTCCAATGGTAAAACACCCTCTTCCTAGAGTTCGGGGACGCTGCAGTCAGAAACGTACGCAATGCCACCTACTGAGACCTCCACAGGACCCAGACGAACCAATCTGTTTTCAATTCAATCTGCTCCCCACACTGAATTGAAAAACTTCATGGAACATTTTTTTCTAGGTTTCAGTTCATAAGATAGCAACTATTTTAATACCAATGAATTATTCAAAACAAGCGATGCTTAGTTGGTATGTCAAACAGGAAACAGGCACCAAACAACTTATTTTATGTGAAAATGGAAACACTTTCGTGGAAAAAAAATTGTACTTATAAAAACTACCCTTATAAACATATATCAAAGGGTATAACTGCCAAAGGTATAATGGCCCCTGACGGTTTTTCAAATGTGATTCAAACAGAGCAAACAGGATTTGGCTCTCTCCAGGACACAGGCCTGGTGACAAGGGTCCTCACATGCCAGGTGCTTTCAGGAATGACAAGGCATATGGTGCTATCTCACATAACCTAACTCTCAGACCTGTAAAGGGAATATCAAATGTATCCTGCCAGACAGTAACTACTTTTCTCCTTGCAGCAGACAAGTCAGGGACCATGTGCCTTGGAGGTAGTCACTGAGTTTTGCCTTCTCCCTGCCTTCCTCACAATAGCATTTGGGACATCACCAGAGTAAGAAATATAGAAAGCACGGGATCAGTGCAGGAAGAGAAAACTATACACTTGATTACTGTATACATATATCACCCAGAATTCATGTTAGGCTAAGCAGTTAGAAAAGGAAAGCAGTGCTAATCAAATAATGCAAGTTAAAGGAGTCTTCTTCTGATTTGTTCCCCAATAATCTCTCTTCATTTATAGAATTCCTGTAACATTTGGGTAGCTGTAGTTAGCTGAATATATAAGAAGGTCTGTCTGGAAAAAGTTCAGCCATTGTTAATATAATAAGAACAGTTCGTATGACATCAATGTAACCTGGCAGCCAAGGAGAGTGGACTGGAATGTGCATGTGTGAACAACGACAACCTCACTGTACTAGTCAGTGGGGGCTGTAGATACCACTGGGTGAGCATGTGCACTGTGTGGCTGTCACATTCAAAATGACTGAGCAAGTACAGCAACAAACCTGCATCAAATTTTGCTTTAAGCTTTAACATTCTTCCCAGAAATTATTCAGATGATTCAGAAGGCCACAGCTATGGGCAACTGGTGATTGGCAGTTTCACCACAACAATGCACTTGCTCATGCCTCACATCTTGTGCAGAGTTTTTTGGCAAAACATTGAATCACCCAGGTGACTCAGCTCCCCTACAGCCCAGATTTGGCACCCTCCAACTTCTGGCTTTTCCCAAAACTAAAATCACCTTTGAAAGAAAAGAGATTTCAGACCCTTAATGAGTCAGGAAAATACGATGGGGCAGCGGATGGCTACTGGGATGATTATGTAAGGTCCCAAGGTGCCTACTTTGAAGGTGACTCAGGCATCACTGTCCTATGTACAGTGTTTCTTGTATCTTTTATCATGTTCAGTAAAGGTCTCTTTTTCACATTATGTGACTGGATACCCTCTGGACAGACCTCATATCACAATCTGTAAAATCATAGGTGGGTAGCTATGTAGGAGACCATTCTGCATGGTGTGGGCCCAGCTCCTATTTGGAGATGCACAGAACCCAAACCCACAAGTAGGTTTTCCCACGGGGAATCAGGCCTGCAATGTACCTAGGCCACTTTGAGACTTGCTTTTGCTAAAACTCCCTCACCCTGAATTGAGATAGCAAGTACTTACTGTAACTTCCTAAAATCTATGCTAAACCTTCCAAGGACTAGTATAACTGGTTCTACTACTTTCCCCTTTTCATTTGCAAATATCCTTCTTCTGTGATGTGATTAGCAGCGTCTGCTCCTTTGTTTTCTGTAAAAGGTAACCACCTAAAGCCAACCTGTGCATAGTAAATGAGGACCAACATGTAATATGCCGAGAAATCCGATAAAGGCCAGCCACAGCAAGGGCCGAGGCTTTTGCTCCCCTTGAGAGAAAAAGCCATGCTCACCCTTTTCCTCCACATGACTTGGTAGTCCGTGTGAATGTCTTCTGTCTCAGCTACAATACCATGGACTCCACAAGTCGGGGTCTGAGACATAGCTAACCATGGGTGGTTTCTACTAACTCCTAATAATCAATCCTAAGAAAAAAACCATTCAGCCATCATCTCCACCATGGGAGTGAGGAGATAAATTGGGAGCAAAATGCTAAACTAGCTAATGTGGACTTGCGGGCTTGTCCTCCTGCTACCCTACACTCTCTTAACCTTATTCCATATTCATTACCAAGCCCCCTGACTAGCACTTTCAAAAAATAAAATTTAGAGAACAGTCAACTATTTCAATGAGTGAAAAATGTTTCAATAGACTAAAGTTAATCTGTAAACTGTTAGAACTTACAGTTTTATAAGGCTAAACCTTGAGGGTGTTAAGCATGACATCGTTTTTTTCCATATTATTCTGAGATAACCAGTGTGGAGTTAGGAAAGGGGTGTTTCCTGCATCTAGAAGAAGCTGAGCCACTTGGTACTTCACTACCTGCATTTTCACAAAGGGGAGGCTGAAGGGAAAGACTACTAAGGAAAGGATACAAGCCTTTCCTGTGTGGATAGCCCAATGTGCAGGACAAGGAGAGGTGGAAGAGAAAGAACAAAAAGGAAAATCAAAAAGTCAGGGGAGTGGGAGGGAGGCTTTGCTAATAAGGCAAATTTCACTGTCTTTGCAGTTTTGCTATTTTCTATCAGCAGTCGCTGGACAAATGGAAGGCAATTACAAAGGTATGTGAGGTGTGTGCACAGCACAGCTCAGAGGGAATAATGTAGTGACAGAAAGAGCTAGACCCACATTGAACTGCAACATGGATAAAGTTGTTATTTGCTTGTCCATTTTCCATATTTGGATTCCTTATGAAAGGAGCTTCATTCCAAAGTAAAAAAAAAAAAAAGGAGGGTGACTTCAGAGTCTAGCAGTGACCCAACCATGTAGTCACTTCATTCTGAACAGTCAGGGCCAGCTTCTTCTTGAGCGTACTCTCCACTCTGCTTCATTTATTAAAAGATATTTAGACACAAGGAACAAAGCCTAGTTGAACTACATGTAGCACCAATTTTTTATGTTAAAAAATTTACCCTAAATAAAACTGATTCCCAAAAGGACTCTGTTCAAAGAAAGCAAGGAAATATGAACCCTCCCCCAAAACAAAATACTCAGGAAAGGGTGAACAGAGCAGAATCACCTGTTTGTTTCAAACCACTCACACACTGTAGATTCTGATAAGGCCCCTAAAGAAGCTCCTGCTGGCCCCCACCCGCCACGGAAGAGCAGTGCCGGGGAACTACTGCTGCTGATCACAATATGTCGTGTCTCTCACATGTGCAGAAAGAAAAGCCTGAGAACCCAAACCTTGAAGAAGTGATGTCTCTCAGAAGGTCAGTAATCTACCACATATCTGTACCCATCAAAGCTGGAACAGAGTATGAGATGTCACTAGAAATGGCCATAATCCAAAGAAACCAAAAAAGAAAAATCAAGAACATGAAATAATAATGTTCACTTGGGGTGATCAATAATAGTAGCCTTAATGAGGGATGGCCAAGTGTCAGCGATTTTTTCCTTATTGCTAGGAGTACTAATGCAAAACTAAATTTATGAGATTGACTCTCCAGGCTTATAGATCAGTCATAAGGAAAGGACAAAATGATGCTCCCCTGCCAGCAGAGGGCGCCTAACCTAAGTGAGTGAAGCAGCAACCCACTAGTGGCTATACCACCAATGCAGCATCTAAAGAATACATTAATTGGAGTAAGTCAAATTCTTCACTTACCATTTGTTAGTCTATCAAATAGAAAGATATCAAAATTCCAATTTCCAACTTTTCCCAGCATACACTGAAATGAAAACCAAACATTCCTACTGTAATTTAATTTCAATAACACTAGCTTTTGTAGATGGTTCATAGAGAAGTTAATGAAAATGAAAAGTGATTTACTGTAAGAAATGCTATATACCATTGTCCTTTTAATCATGACCTTTCCAACTGGCTCCAAAAAAAATGTCTAAAGGGATAAACTCCATTTGAAAAGCCAAATATTATTTTGTTTTCCAATTAATAAATGTACAGGTAAAATTTTTTTAAACTTATTCCTATATTCCCACAAATTTTCAATAATTCTAACATAATTTAAAATCACAGAAGTGTGGTTCATATGTTGCATGGTATAGAAACTAGATTTTAAAAATCCAGTGAAAACACTTACAATAACTGAGTACTTACTATATTTCAGGTACTGTTAAGAGTACTTATTCATTCTTACTATCGACATCAACACTATCAAGTAGACAGTGCTTTTAATCCTCAGTTACGGATGGGGAAACATAACTTGACCAGCTAGAAAGTAACAGAGCTGGGGTGTTAAATCAGATGCTCTGATCCTGGAACCTAGGCACTTGATGCCTACACTGTGCTATGCTTAAATTATATTATTCAATTTTTTTTGTTAGAAAACACTCCCAAACTTATGGGTATTTATATTTTTAAAATACCCTTATAAAATAATAGCATTCACATTAATTTTTAGATTGATGTGTATTTCAGCCAAGTAAATAAATCCCACAATGACCTTAAAAACCAAATAGATTGTATTTCTGCACTATGTATTTGTAACTTAAAAATTCTGTAGACTTTATTTTTAAGAAAAGAATTTCTTTCCAAAAGTTCATTGCTGTATAAATTTATGTATAGATCAACATAAGCAATACTAAGACACTACTATGGAGACTAATTATGATAGTACCAACAATCAATTATATGCAAATCAACATTCTTTTTTTTCTTTTTAATATGGAACACTTCACAAATTAGCATGTCACCCCGGCGCAGGGGCCATGCTAATCTTCTCTGTATTGTTCCAATGTTGGCACACGTGCTGCCGAAGCGAGCACCACAAATCGATATTCTCATTCTAAAGATAAGACCTTGTAAAATTTTTAAAATTTAAAGCATGAACAGTTTTCATTGATTTCTTTTACCAAATAGGGAAGCAAGTTTGTTTCCCTATTTAACATCATCATAAAAGTACTCGAGCCCTATGTATACAAACTTAAAAATGTGCTCTATAAATATTAAGTCAATGAATATTTTTAAAAATATAGAAACATAAGATTATTTAAAATCCTCATTTGGTCAAAAACAAGATCATCTAACTTCCACCTTCATTAAGACATTTCTTTTAACCTACACAGAGAAAGTAATGCTCACAATCACTGGGTTTAATTAAGAAACACCTAAATTCTCAAAATGCCACACTGATGCAAGAGACTACGAAAATCATTTGACTGAAAGTCATAAGACCTAACTTTGTGTGCTAGTTTAGAGCTAATTAGACCTCTAATTAGAGGTCAAACTAGTACCTTTTGCTCCTGCGGTCAGTTTCCTTTTCTCTTAAAAACAGAAGTTAAATCAGATAATCCATAATATTCCTCCCAGCATTAAGTCTTATGGTCTTACAGTTTAATGTTCTATTGTTCTACTTGTTACTTAATATTATAATAAATAACATTTTCATTTATTTAATATTATAATAAATAACATTTTCATTTATTTAGTTCATAAATTTCCCTTGATCTATAATACCTAATTATAAAATGAACAACTGCTCTAAAGGAGAAACCTGGAAAATAAGCTGAACTGATTTTTGCATATAAAAAAAGATTATAAATCAGTATCAGATGGGAAAAGAAGGCTTCATTGAACTTATCAAAAAGTTAACACTTCTTAAAAAAGCTATACACACCTTGGCTTGTCCATTATAATCATCATCTAAAATGTTTAGAGAATTTGAAACAGTAGTACCACGGAAAAAGCGTGATGATCTAAGATACCGCTGGAAACTAAGCAACCTTCTGATGTTCCTTGCAGACACAGAGACTTCAACTTCTGATGGAGCTGAAACGAAAGGAGTAAAAGGTGAGTACAGCAGGTCAAAACTGTGCAGATATTACCTTGTAACACCCCTTTTCTAGTTATATACAAATATATTTTTAAATTAACCATTATACCACATTTCTAGGAGAGAAGAGGTACTTTATTTGTATTCTTATTAAAGAACTAAAAATGAAGGGATAAACTGCCAATTTTAACCAGCTTTTTGTTTTAACTTCCACGAATTATCATTTCTCTCTCTATTGTTGAAATACACTATATACACATTACAGAACAGAAAGGCACAATCCAGTGTGGACTAGATTTAACAGTATGGAATACTTCATACTAAGAAGCCAGGTCCCACATTACATTTTAGAATTTAGTAATGACACAACTAAAACACCTCAAATCCTGATGCGGTATCATCACAAACATTTCCTTAGGGTAGTCTTATTTAGAAGAAAAGGAAATACAATGGAAAAATAAAGCAGTTTACATCCTGCAAGAGCTCTAAAGGACAAGGATAAAAACTCTGTAAGGTGAAAAGCTCTAGAAACGACGTGGTTCCACGGTGAAGACTGATGCGTTCTCCATCAGTGAGTCTAACAGCCATTGCCCCCAATGTTAGCATAAACCAAAGCTTCTTCGAGCTACAGATTAAACAACAGACTTACATTAAAAGCTATCTTGTAGGGAACATATGTTATGTTTAAATTCTAAATTGAGTGAAATACTTACAATATAAAATACATAAAGACCAAAGATCAGCAAATCATAATCTTTCAAAATGTCAGGTAATCAAACACTCTTTCTTGTGTGTCCAGTTACTAACTCTTCTATTACCCTGTGTTTTCTCTATCTAGAAAATGTCAGTGATACTATCTAACTCAAAGGGTGCTGGATTAACTGAGACAATGTGTACGCAGTCAGATGTACAGTAGGTGTTGAATCCAGTGGCAATGCAGATGATAAAATTGACACCGATACCACTGCTGCTGGCTACGCTTCTAGGTAATTAGACTGAGTTCCAAATCTCATTATGTTGCTCTAAATAAAATTATCCCTTGGCTCCTAATTTTCTCAAAATGAACTCCATTTTAGCCTGGCAGAACAGAATCCATGTTCCAGGCTTGCTCCAAACTTGACTCAGGCGTCACCTTACCTGGGAAGCACACCTGAATGCCTACCCATAAGCACTCCCCTTCTAAGAGAGATGGGAAGAACCTCCTCTGGATTCTCAAAGTTCCCTGTGCTCACACGTATCCGAGTGCTTCCTATATCATATTGTAATTGTTTATTTACCTGTCTCCTTCAACAAATGATGACCTCCAATATAGGCACAAGCTATTTTTTTTCATCTCTGTATTCCAAAGCTGAATAATAGTGCCAAGTAGGTATATGTAAAATATATTGAATAAATGTTGAATAAATGTATACTATTTTTGAAATGTATGATGAGTTCTGAGGTTCCTATATATTCACATAAGCCAAAAATAAAATAATGCACACTGTTACATGGTTTACTTCCTTCATTCTTCATTCCAGTGAGTTTAAAACTGAAAGTATCTAGAAAAATTGTTGAGTTAAAATTGGATCTTTAACAATGTAACTCACATTAAAAGGTCTGGAACCAACATGTAAAGCTATTAATATCAAGCAATTATGTTTGAACTAAAATTAGTATGTTTGAGGAAGTGAAAGCAGTATCTCATTTAGCCCTCAACAATCCCAAAATATTATCTTCCACTTTATACATGAGAATGATGAATCTACAAGAAGTTAATAAACCTGCCCAATATCACAGGACCAATATAGGATGACAACTAGATTTTAAAACATAGACCTGTTTGCAAAGCTTGTGTCCACAGTATTACTCATTAAGTATTTTTATTATATCTCTACGGTATTGTTTAACTGCTTATTACAAAAATTCTGTGTACACTATTTTTTGAAACTGTCCTTATGTAGATGAAAGTATGTATAAAAAGAAACAGAGAGAAAAAGCTAATGTACAGGAATGTAAGTCTTTAATGTGACCCCTTTAGTCTTACTCCTAGAAAAGAGTAGATCTGGCCCTGGCTGGTGTGGCTCAGTGGACTGAGTGCTGGCATGCAGACAAAAGGGTCAACGGTTGGATTCCCAGTCAGGGCACATGCCTGGGTTGTGGGTCAGGTCCCCAGTAGGGAACCTGCTCAAGAGGCAACCACACACTGATGTTTCCCTCTCTTTCTCTCTCCCTTCCCCTCTCTAAAAATAAACAAACAAAATCTTTTAAAAAAAGAAAGGAAAGAGTAGATCTGGAAGGGACAGTGTGGAATGCAACCCTTCAATTTATTTTACACACAGAAGAATTTTATCACTAGCAATTCTATCACATTGTGTGCACATGTGCATATAAACTAATAATAGGATCACTGCTTTCAAATTATATGTTCAAGCTAATGCATCCTCAAGTAAACTTGAAAATCTCTTTGGGAGGATAATTGCATAAGATCCACACACACACACACAAAAAAGAATGAGCCTCATTTGAGGGGAAAACCCCAAAAATACAGTCCACTGTGCCAAGTCCCTGTATCAACATGGCAGGACCCACACTGTCAGGGGTTAAGACAGCTGGCATTGTCTGGAAAATGGGGCTCTTCCCACAAGATCATGGTTGTGCCCTCCCTCTGCCTTACTCCTATTTTCTGGGTGACTTCTGACAAGTCACAACTTCCTACTGTCTCATTTTCCTTCACTGAAAAAAAAAAATAAAAGCATAATTCATGTCTTTTTCTTGTTTCACAGAGCCCTGGAGTTGGAACTCATTATCAAAGGCTCTGTTTTGAGAATGAATACTAGACATTAACTCAAGGGAAAAAGCTCAGTCATCATAGGAGTCCAATCCTTCCAACAAGACTAATTCAAAAAATAACCTGCACAACAGGATAACAGACAGACTTTCACTTAATGATAGAACCAGCCTTAACGATTAGTGGTTATTTCACAGACAATCTAAGAGAGGACAGAGAACCTGTCCAGATGAAACTGCAAATCATCTACAGAAGTGTTTCTTCACCCAGATGGCCTAAGGAGCTTACACCTAAAAAGATTACATTCTGGAAAAAGCAGAAAATCCCATGAGGCCTTGCAGAGATGGCAACTAAAATTACCTCAAAGCACTGCCTGAGACTTAATACAGGACCAGAACCTGGAGGGGAGGGAAGTATATTTGATGTTTTTCACCACTCTAACCTTTGAGTTTGGAATGCACTCACATGTTTATAAAATGAAAGCAAGAAGGGAAGGAGGGAGGGAGACAAGAACACAGTAAAAAACCTCACCCTGCCAGGTCCCCATCCAACTCACTGTAAGCCTGCCCCTAAAATGACAATCTTTTCTTAAAGTTTCTAGTGTATGCTCCCTGAGTTTTTTTTAATCAAATTTATGGAAAACCATTATATATTATTTTCCTACTTATTTTACATAAATGGTAGTGTAGTATACAACCTGTTCTGCATCTTGCTTTTTAATTTATCTTGGAGCCATTTCCCTATCAGTACCTTCCTCCTTCTAAGACTGTGAAATATTTCATCATATGGATAAACCATAATCTATTCAATCAGGGCTCTACCGAAGGGAACTGCTATTTTACAATTTGCAAAAGTACCTTCATTTTGTTAAGTATGCTTATATTTCTACTATTGTTCAACAGGTTTAAATATCATCCTTTAATTTTTTGTTACTGCACATGAGGAAATCACCTTATATCCCATCTTCTTTCCCTTTTCTTCTTCCAACATTTGTTAATTATCAAAACAATTTTCTTTCATAGCAATCCCCACCTTAATTGTAGGTTCAGCTCCAGAATTAAATATATTCAGTATATGAATCTTTTTACCATGGCTTCCCCAGTTATCTTTTGTTTGCTTAGATTCAGGTTCATCTTTTAAAAGTTTCCTCAAAAAGTGTTCAAGAAAACCACATATCTTATAAACAATATATTCCTGAATGTTCAAAACTTTTCTTTGGTAGTCTTTGTACTTGAAGGACAGACTGAATATAATATTTAATATAGAATTCATGGCTTCCATTTTTCTTCCTTGAATTTATTTTAAGGTACTGGTTCATTGTCTTCTCTTACTGAGGTTGCAAAATCTGAGGCAAACCCATTATTTCTCCCTCACAAATGACTTGATCTTTTTGCATGGTCACCCACAGAGTATCTCTTTATCTTTCAAGTCTAATGACTTTGCTAGGATAGACCTCATGTTAACATTCTGGGTCATTATCCCATGCATGGTGTGCTCTTTCAACATGTACATTTAAATCTTCTGTTATTTCTGAAAAGTTTTCTTGAATTATATATCTCTAAATATTCTATTCTACTATTTTGGCTTTATTATTCAGACTCTAAAGTGTAATCCTAAAACACCTCTGTCTGCTATACTTCACATATGTTCTCCCCAAATCTGTTTAACGCAATGGACCTTTAGTTCTCGAACTTAATTTGTCCCGGAAAACTGAGTAGTGATTTGTTTGAAAACAGAATCTCCTTTGTTTGTCACCCGACATGTGACTGATCATGCAGGTATCAGCAGGAAAGGGTGACCAGGTAGAAAATCAAGATCTGAAGCTTTGTTATAAATGGAGACATTTTATCCATAAGCAACTTGGTCGAGAACCTTATTATTCAAGAACCAAACTGTTCAAGAACCAAGGTGTTCAAGAATCGAAGTTTGACTTTATTTTTGTTTTGTTTTCCTGTTTCTGTCCACTATGCCCATTATCTTTAGTGTATATTCCACTCTATTCCTACCAAATGTCCTCATTTCTGAGACACATTAAATGTTTGCTCCTACTATTTCCTGATTCTGAATGCACGTCTCAGCACGTCAACTATTTTTGTTGTCTTGTCGTACTTATCTTTCCCCCAAGTTCTTGAACTTGTGCTTTACAATGAAGTTATTGCTTCGTCCAGTTTTTAAAGAGAGTAGAAAACTTGGCCAGAATTTTCATCAGTATGACGGCAACATTTT